AAATATGCATTAGCCTAGACTTGAGTACAATCTTGCCATAAAAGACTCACCTATTACAGGGGCTTTCACATAATTCTGAAATTGGTCATGAGACAAAGTGTTATGGAAATGTTCTTTAGCAAAGTGGACTTCCAAAAGCTCGGGTCCACTGAAGGGTTTAAAACACGAAGGACATAAAAAGCCCTCAATAATAGTCTCTTGATAAGTGAAGGAATTATCTTCAGCCATTTGGCATTTTACCGTTCGAGACGGACTTACAGGCTAAGCGGGCCAAATGAGCCAGCGGGCCTATCGGCCCGATGCCATTCCATGAATGGCCTTGAGAGTATCTTTAGAACATCACCAACTTTGTGCCCTTATCCTTGAAATAAATAAACATGAAATTGCAACGTTTTCAATGTTTAAATATTTATAATTAGTTCGCATGATGCACTCTAACTTTTTGCTGTCATTTTTTAACTGAAAAAAGAATATATTTACTAAACACGGTCAATAATCAAGATGAGAGGTTGATTGATGCTGTGTTTTTGTATTCACTGCTTAACAATCATTCACAGCCGAAAATCCAGTGCAGAATGAGAGTCCAGGTCAATTTGGTGTAAGCCATACTGGGTCTTTTTCGAATATCTTATTTGGTTTCGCAAAACCAGAGCTGTGTGGGTAACCCACTAATTTAGTTTCAAACAGTGACTCTAGTTTGCTATTTTGCACCCTAAGGCTGATCACTTCCACATTTTAATTCATTTTTATAAACTGTTGAACTACCTTCAATGCAATTAATTAGTTGTTTTTTAAATTATCCTCAAATCTTCCTTATTTCGAACAAAGCAGCTTTGAACAGATTCTATTTCATTGTTATAATATGGGGGAGCATGCAGATGTTTCTTTATAATACATATGTCATGAACTGACTTTTTTCCCCTATTTTGGCTTCAGACCGCCTAGGTTTCCATTGCCTTCTATGTTTTTAATCCGGTGTCCCATAGCAGCTAAACAATTTGGTTCTGTCATCTAAGTACACGCCATCGATGTGAAAACCAGTAGTACACCACGTTTCTGTTCTAACTGGTGATTCATTAGTTTCCTTTTTTATGCACATTCCATCATATGCACTGAAAGTGGATCCACTTTCCTGCCACTTGTGTACTTCAGGTTACTGTGTCAAATGAAGGGATCAAAAGTAGTACAGTGATTCATCGACCTCGGCGTCCCCGTGGGTGTATGTGCGTTGTGTCTGTGTTTGCGCGGCACATGTGATTCACCCCACCTTGACCCCATTGTGTGTTCTCGCGTGCCTGAGTGCACAGACGATACTGCCACACAACAATCAACCAATCCTAGCCCATGAGGCTACTTAATGGGGCCACATGTATGCAAGCGTGTTACTTCTGATTCATGGTTAATTCATTGCATTCTGCTTATTCTCACATTTGGTCCTTGCAATGGGCCTTTGTACTTTTAACTTGACCTCAAACACACGTATCTGTGCCTAAGCAACCCCGGTTTGTGCCTGACACAAATTGCTCTGCCTGGATTGATAGCACAACTTCTGTTTGGTAAAAAAATGAACTAATGAAAAGGTTTCTTGCAGTCAGGTCCACTCTACTCAGCTATTAGTGTTTCTAGTCATTCCAACTGTTTCTAAGGCACCAATCCGTCATCTCTAAGGCCTACTTAGCATGATAACCGTTGCTTAATCTATAGCAGAAAAGACCTGCAGTATATTTCTCGATACGATTTGTTTCTAACACCGACCCCTAGATTCTTGACCCTTCGTCACACATGTGTGACGAAGTTGCTTAATAGAAGATGAATTAGATTACGAGGAGAACAGCTAATTGCAATAAGTGGTTGTGGTGATCACTTTTCATTTTTGAGTCAATGTAAGAGTTGACAAACCTGTTTGTTCCACAATAGAGGGATTTCGGTGATTTCGGGTAAGTGTGAAGTTGAATTACCAAAAAGTGAGCAGAAGCTTTACTTAATAATCTTGACAAATTTAACTAAATATTTCATTTACTGGTAAGGTGGATTTGCAATAAGATGGGTAGAGAAATTTCACTCTTTTGTAGGTAAAAACCGACCCAGGGAGAAGAGCGTTTTACACAAGCACCTGAATTCTTCACCGGGAAGACCGGTACTCCTGAGTGCTGCAATCACGCCATTCTCACCACACGGCATGGTTTAACATGTTTAGCTGTGTGCTCTACTCTGTGGGGAGAACACACTCTGCCTTCACTTCGTGCATCGATATACGCGCATAAAAAAACACGCATGCAAAGAGCTCAGTGTCTCTAACAATTACGAAGGCATTGCCAACTCAAATACGCGGCTAAAATAAATACACACACATGCAAAAGCAGTGTTACTAGCACCAGTGAGTTAGGTATTATTGACAATGACCTAGGTGGCTACAACCCACAAAACTTTTACTGTGTTTGTGCGGGTGAATGGGTTTCAATGGCCAGAACAACAGGGTTTCGTGCCCTTGATCAGGCCCAAACGCCCCACACACGGACAGGGAGGAGGCGAGGGAGAGAGAGGGGGGAAAAGGCAACCAACTTGTGCTAGGCACTGACGTCAGAGCTCTCGTCGGCTACAGGAGCAGAAGGTAGCAGAGTGGAAGGAGGCATTTTGTGGAAATATTGCCCCACTTGAATACGCACCAATCAGCAGCAGCTTGGTGATCAAAGTCAAAGTCATCAAATTCGAATCTGGTGGGAAGCAAAGCGGTTGCACAGTTTATGGACAGTAAACCACATACCTACTACTCCACCCCACATCGAATTGGGAAATTAGGAATTTGTGGCAATGTAGCCCCAATTGTGGACTGGTTAAGTTAGTAGCATACAACTTAATCAGTTACACTGTACACAAGGAAATTTACACCCTACCAAATGTCAGCGACTATTTCTACCTTTTATATTTTATGGATCTAAATAGTCAAACCTATCTACAAACTTCTCAAATTTTGTTGTGGTAACATAAAAGGCGCCTGATTTGGATGAGGTTAAACAGGCCAATGGAGGATCGATTTGGTGACCCTTCAGTTCACTGCGCGTGAGTCGTGTTGCCCAATCACATGATCGTGGATGCGTGGGCGATGCTCAGGTGCGAGCCCTCACGTTATTCGTGCGTATACTCAAGTAAAACCACCTGACTGAGTAATCACGGTGGTTGTCGACTTGGCAGCTCAACAATGTGACGACGGCCTATAACTTGTCGACGTCGTAGTACCTTCCATCAGGGCCAAAATGTCAACACTGCTAGCGAGTAATTAAGAATTAGTGGTAGCAGTTTTATTTGGCCATATAACTAAAGCACGGAATATGTAAACCTTAAGGAAGTACACAAACTTAAAGTAAACGAAATAAAGCAGTAAGTTTATTCACAAATTTTGTTTCATCAGGTAGTATGCAACCGCGCCATTTCAACAGACTGACTAAACGGTGATGCATAGAGAGTCACAAGGTGGCAGATATGCCGTCGATTGTTGTGACAATTTGCGCATTGCAGACGTGGAACGGGCACCATTGAAATGTATGCACTGGGCTGTGCTGATTTCGTAAACACTGACTAACTCATCGGCAGATTTGTGCCGTAGTTCGGCCTTTTACAAAGTAGGGGGGGGGGGGGGGGGGCGACCAGGCAGAAAAGTGGAAGTATCTACAGGCCAGCAAGATTTCACGCCTGCTGCAGCTTTCAAACATTGTGATCGTCTGGTGTGCGCGTCACATGTATGAAACACTCGTGAAAAATTAATGAAAAAATGTATTAAAAGCACAAATTTCCATCGAAAACTTAAAAGGTTCCTTCAAAAGCGAGCTCGGTGTGTAATTGCCATCGCAATTTTCTCACACAAGTTCACGCTCATACACGTCCCGATAAAGCGCATGCTACACAGCCTCGAAACAGGCGTTGGCGCCAGCACAATTGATAGGTGTAGCGGAGAGGCAGATTTACTGGAGGGTGAGAGTTATGCACAGTTCCTGCCATGCACACGTGATCTTGACGAAGACGTCGACTGTCAGTAGGAGATGGAAGTGTGCTCCATTCCACGTCTGCATCAACGCGCCGTTTGTCTCAAACGCATCCGCGGCTCTGCCATCCAATTTCAGAAGGTAGCCACACAGGTCATGGCCGCTCTACGGCCCTAATGGGATCCTCCCCCACTTCCTCTCTTTCCACCCCTTTTTTTTCCTCCTGCTGTCCCTCCGTCAGTCTGTGCCTCTAACCGAGCATCTCTTCTCCATGTCTCCCTTCACCTATCCACTTGCCTTTCCACTGTCCTCTTCAATTGCACCCACCCATCACTATCCCTTCATTGGAGCTCGCACACCCGACCACCATGGTGATAGTT